TGTACCCTAGATCTGGTCTCTAGTAATTCTGCTCAAAGTGCACCAGATTGAAGCATTTTACTTAAAAATGTTAAAACAAATCTTTCCGGGAGAGCATGCCCCCGGACCCCCCTAGAGGATGTGACGTCCACCCCCCAATTAAAACATGTTCATACAATAATGAATACATTTAAAACCTTCTTTATGTATATAACCAACATGTCAATAGGTTTCAGTTTTTGTAGTGTATTGGTCTTTTGTAGAGATTTTTCATTTATTCTTTATATATTCTATTGTGTATTAGTTGGAGGTGGGGGGGGGCACCACATCATAATCTCGCCTAGGGCACCAAAATGGCCGGCCCGGTCGAACACACAGATTTCAAAAGCTCTGAGCAATAAAATATAACTTGTGTTTTTAGCGCCATGTTGTTTCTGTTTCACAACATACAGCTCAAAAATCTAGAAGAACAACAACCCAACGTAAATGCAGAGTAGTGTACGATTGGACGATCAATTTTTGGAAAATAAGTTAAGGAAATATTTAATTTCAAATTCAAAAACAGAATCAACAAATATATAATGACATATGCTTACAAACTTTTCTATTTCAAAAATATTTTACTTTTACAAATGTATGTATTCATGCATCATCAATTAGAAACACAGCTGATAAACAGCACTGAGGACTTTGCTACTGACCCTCCGTTATGTTTAATGTATTTTTATTCAGCCAATGTCAATGTTTGTGTTCACATGAGGAAAAATCTCTTACCTAGGAGGAGGGGTTGTCTCACGTCCAGAGTGCTGTAACAGAGACAATTGACACGTATTAGATTAAGTTACCTGATGGCAAAATGGATAGGAATAAACTCTGTGTTGGTCTTACGCCTTGCGGTCCACATCCTCCTATCATCCCCCAACAGGGTGAAAAACCGACATATCTGATTCCAGATCTCACTCCGTAATGTGTTCTCCACTTCTGTTACAGATGATCAAATTAATGTTGATGAACATTTTAGGTTACATCGGTACAAATAGTTAGTACACATGTTGTATCAACAAAATAATTACTGTTTATATTTTGAAAGATTTTTACAGGATGATCTTACCTGACCAAGAGGTTGAGGCTCTGTCCTCCTCACAGGGGCTGCATCAGAAGAAGTGACGGTTGTGACGAGCAGGAAAACCTGCAGACTCAACAGCAGCAGCAGCACACCTTTGTCCATGACTGAAGAGAAGAGTTTGAAACACACAGCTGTGAAACACACAGGTCTTTATATCCTCTCTGCAAAACAAACACTTTGTTATGGAGAAAGGGATAAAGAGTAAGAGGGTGTGTGCAGATGCAAGATAACCCGTCTACACGCAGATGCACCATTTTAAATGATTTGTTTAACCTCAAGATACATATAACCACAATTATGTTTATCTAAAATATTATCTTCCTTCCTCTGAAGTCCCTCCTTAGACATCTTGTGATCACATCAATATGCCAGCAGGTTTACAGAGAAACAGCATTACATAACGGTGGACTTACATGAACTTCATGGTATTTAATAACCTATTTGTTGGACAATACTATATGTTACTAAACTGACCTGTATTTCACAGAAGTGTGAATAAAGTTTATTCAAAGAATCCCTGAGACCTTCTTTGCTTTGATTTCTAGTCAACAAAACGCAATGGAGGTGCTACTACTATCTAGTAATCCAGTAAAAACTATCCAACCTTATTGTAATTGTTTTCTGTGGTAATATCTTTTGCCATGTTTGATCAAAACCAAGAATATATGTATTCAAACAAGACATATTAATGTATCTTCAGAAGCTGTAACATAACCTAAATAATTAAAATGTTAGGGTCAGATACATGCATTAAACTGCACTACAAACCTTTTATAAATGTAGGTAGGACCAGTGGCGTTTCTATATGTACAAAAGTGGTGGGGCACAAAAAACGTAGATGTCTATAAGCTTCTGCAGTGAGGTTCATGGCTGGCGAGGCACTGGCTCTGACTCTTCAGGTTTACAAATATTATATTTTGACCTAAATCAAAATATAATATTATTTTCAAAAGCCTCTTTAGTCTGATGCTTCAATACATTTTAAACAGACAGTTCAACAGAAGGATACCCAAAACATTTAATTTGATCATTTAAATATTGAATTGTTCTCTCTTAGTAAGATCCCATTTTCAATAAAATGGTGGTCTTACCTTGACTTGAAGATGAAGTCCATTTGCCTATCCTTCTGGACAAAAATCTCTTACTTTTTTGTAAAAGTCCTCCTTATCTTCTTGTAGTTTCAAAAGTCTATCATAAATCTAAATGATGGATTTATGATTCGAAAATTATAAAAGTAGGGTATAGACATGTGGATATTATCCGGCTGAACAAAACGTACATTTATCTAACAGCTACGTTTCCCACAGATCTTATTTGGAGCTATTTTCTAAAATCCTATGGAGAAATCTTATTGCTTTTTTGTGGAGGGAAGCTATGCGCAGCTACTTCCTGGTTTTAGGACGCGTCTCTCTCCTCCTCTTCACCTGCTCTTCACACACCACACTTTTCGCGGCACACATACTTACAGCCAATCAGCTCTGAATTATGTGAGATGACGTATGGTGGGGATGGCAGCTCTATGCCCCTATGGTCATTATTTTTTTGCCACACACATTAAATAGGAAAATACTCTGAGCATGCGCAGTGTAGTTTTTACAGTCACCATTCACTTAGACAGAGAGAGGGAGGGGCAGGATCGGATTTTGTCCCACATGGCACTAAACAGCTCAATAGGCACACACTGTAGACACTAATTAGAAGAACATATACTAAAACAGCAATATACAGACGAATGAGATGATTAAACCAGATCTTAAAATATATTTTATCTATATTTTAATTTATTTTTTGCATTTTGTTGTAATCATTATTTTAATACTTTCTGCTGACACTAGGTGGGGCTGTGTCAGAAAGTATGGACCAACGTGTAACAGAGTAGAAAGTAGCATACAATACAAATATATGAAACATAACATTGCAAATAAAATAACAAGTACCTTAAAATATTGTAATTGCCCCCCCCCTACAGCATTTGTGTGTGATGAAGGTTTTTATGCATGTAAACGGTCTGCAGAGTAAAAAACCCTCAAAGTACACCCTGTAGCGAGTAATACTCTAACACAGAAAATACCTGTCTATGCTGCCCCAGAGCGCCTCGTTGGAGATTTTATTTGTATTTCCTGGGTACAGTGACGTGACCATACCCAAATGGACCAATCCGTGGAGCTCCTCACACACACACACACACACACAATCTCTCAGCGGCGAAACTGCACCGTGTTTGAGGGTGTGGGTGCTGCAGCCGCTTCAGCACCCCCCCTTCCCGCGTCCATTCGCGATGTTATTGCTGTCTCGGAGACTGCACGCAGCAAGCAGGAAATTAACCCAGCTCACACTGTCCGCTCCTCGCAGCAGCGAGCCGTGCCAATTTCTGGTTGCTAATGCCATTGTAACACGAGTGGGCGAGCTGACCAATCAGAGCGGGCGAGCTGACCAATCAGAGCACAGTGGGCTCACGGAGAGAGGGGGGGGGGGGGGGGGGGGGGGGAAACCAATGTGAGTTTGAAAAATTGCACAATATAAATCTATTCTAGTATACCTCAACAATGGAATTATGATCAGTAGAAATGGCCATGACATTAGTGTTAATTTCGTCAGCTATTCTTTAATTTAGTTTTAGTCTTAGTCCTGTGTTACATTTCCTTTTTAGTTTTAGTCATATTTAGTCACCTTCATCCTGTTTTTATTTAGTCAAGCTTTAGTCGACTAAAAGTCTGAGCATTTTAGTCTTATTTTAGTCGACTAAAACAGCAAACATTTTAGTCAAGATTTAGTCGACTAAAAGTCTGAGCATTTTAGTCTTATTTTAGTCAAAACAAACTAATTATTTTAGTCTACTTATTGTCAATGAAAACTGTTGAGTCTTTTTTAGTCATCAGATTATATAGAACATTTCAGTCAAACTAGTCTAGCCAAAACCAATAATTTGTCATTTTAGTATATATAAATAAATAAGATTATATCTTGTCCTTATTTGATGAAAAACACAGGTTGAATGATTAAGAAGCTTTGCAGAGAGTATCTGGTCAGGTTTGTGGTGTTTTTACCAGCTGTGTTATGGCCACATTGCTTCCCTTCTGATAAAACAATGCATTCGCTTTTTTTCTCCGCCTCATTGTACCGAAAATGGGCCCAAATATCACATTGTTTCTTTCTCCCAAACAGTGGTGGCTTTAGACTTTTTCGTTGTCAGTCATTTTGACGGACAGGATCGTAACATTTCCGTCATAATCCATTATTATCCGTCGAGTGCACAATGTATCAATCACTCGCGCTGACGGGGGTATTCGGTTAACGCGAGTGCGACCACTGCTCCCAAGCCCTGTTGTTGCCATTTTATTTGATGTTGAATAAGGTTAGTTAGACCATGAGTTAGACCCGAGTCTTCTTGACAGTTAATATTTTGCCGCTGCCCGGTGTAATTCAAATCTACCGCCGCGCGCAGCACAGACACACAGCTGCTGCCCAGCCGCAGCACCGGAAATGGAACTGCTTGGAGAAAAACTGACTATCAGAGATGTAACGTTATCTTTGATAATATTTTGTCATACATTTTCGTCTCGTCGCTTTTCGTCAACGATATTGCATGATGATTTCGTTGCAGTTATTGTTTACTGCCGTCGGTGCCGTCTCGTCATCGTCTCGTTTTCGTCATGGAAAAAAAGGTCGTTGACGAACATATTTCGTCATAGTTTTAGTCAACGAAATTAACACTTCATGACATGGGACCTTTAATAACAAACCTCAACTGTAATTCTCCACCTGACCGCTAGTAGCTCAATGTTTCCCGCCTCTGTCACTCACCTGCTCCTCATTAGCCAATCAGAGAGCTTACTCGAGACACCCTCACTGTTAAAAAATAGCATTTATTTTATCCTCAAACACTCGACCTGTGGCACTGCTTGTGTTACACATGTTACAGTTATTCGTGGAAGTCATACAGGGAACGCTATAAATCAAGAAACAGGTCAAAAGATTGGGAAAATGTGCCCAACTATTCAACGAAATGTAACGTAGCCTACAAACCTCCTCAGGAAAGTGAAACACTCCGCTCTTATCTTGTTTTTCTCAACCTTGCATCACCTCCATTTCGGCTAATTCCTTGTTCCCAGCAGAGAAACACTGGACCGGATCAGACTTTATCCTGGTTTCCCTTCAGGAACTGGGACATGCTGCACGGATCAGACCTGTGAAACTTCTCCTCAACTAAAGTAACAGCAACAGAAAAATAAAACAGGACTTTAAAAACGTCCTATTTTACGTTGTATTTTAATCGTTTTGTGGCTACACTTCACACAATTCACGAGAGGAGTAAACTGAAGGTGCCCCGTTGGTCAATTTCACTCAGCGAGGACAACACACGCCGAGATCGGTGAGTTTGTATTCATTTTTCTTGCTAATTAAATATCTTTGTTGTCAACATCCTGCTCAAAAATCACAATCAACACACTACAATATTTCCATACAAATTGTCTTCAATTGTGTTTTTTATTCCAATTTTGATACACTGATATTTGTTCAACATCTTAGTTACATAATTCACGAGATTTGATGCGTAACATGTACAATAAGTATGGATCATCGCTATAGTTAACACTGAGATACACGGTGTTTCTTGTACTATCTTGTACTGGCAGTCTGGCACTATATCTGACCTCCACATCCACAGGGACTCACTGCAGCCTCTGATCTGCTGCCATGTTTGCTTCTTTTAGAGAAAAGTGTGTTCCACTTGATCAGAGAGAGATTTGCTCCTCAGGAATGCTGATGCGGAAAACACCAAATCCTGCTCGGTGTTAATACCTCTGATTTGCTTGTAAGTGGCTTGTTGGACCTCCAAATGCGTTTAAAGTGCTTACTGTTCTGTGGTTAACTCTATAATATCAACTAAGAGGTTGAATATCTGCATAAAATGTTTAGAAAAACAGATTTCTTTATTTGTATTCACTGTCTACCTGCAGGAAGTATTCCAGTTATGCATTATGACTCTGAAGTAGGGATGGGTATCGTTTGAAATTTATCGATTCCGATTTCGATTCCGGTTCTGCTCATCGATTCCGGTTCTTATCGATTCCCCGTTTCGATTCCAAAATTGTAAAATAAAGAGGTCAAACGTTTAGATAACAAAAATATATTTATTCTTAAAAGCTTTAACTGAAATTGTTACTAAAAAATATACATGCAATACAAATGTATTGCACAATAGCTGTGCTTTATTTTAACTGAGCTATGCCTGTGGCAAGCTATTAACAGGCATTACACTTTGCCTTTTCTTTTTCTTTTTTAGTGTAGTGGAGCCTCACTTCAGAGTGTTTACCGCGACCTATCTTTGGTGTTATGAAGTGACTGAGCTCGTGAAATGTCTACGGGAGGGCGGGGGAGCATCGCTGCGGGGCAACTGTGGACCTCTGTCGCCTGTCAGCGCAATTTATATGATGCCGTTTAAAAAAATGAAGGGCGGTGCCGGCCGTCAGCGTACCGAGCCGGCCGTCAACGGCCCGCTGACGACCGGCCGTTCTGTGATTCTCCAGGTCCGCCCTGTATTCCACCGGGTCACCGCAGCACCGCGGTGCAGACGGACCCGCTGGAATACAGGGTCTACCGCGTTTAGGAACCGTTAAGCAGAACCGAAATTGTGTATTTTGTATGGGTACCCGGTACCCGGCATTTTCTTATCGGTTCTCATCTGGAACCGAGTTTCGGTTCCCAACCCTACTCTGAAGGGCACTTTACAACAATAATAATAATATTTCAACACAATGTCTCTTTAACAGGTACAGTTTATAGCTTTTTATAAAAGAAAAACATCATTTATAATATCATTATTTCACAAAAGTACCCATACTGCCTCACAAAGGCAGTTCCTTTATTGTGTGTAGTAGGCCTACTTGTACTTTGAGTTGATGCATTGCTGTGCTTTAATTTAGCAGCTGGTAAATGTGAAACTCATTTTTCACAATTTACTGGTTTAGGTAGTTTGTAAATGTTACCAATCTAATCCTATTAAACAAAGTCCTGTCTTTAACCATAATATAACATCAAATATAGTGGAGTAGCAGTATAGAATAGAAGGAAAGGAAATATAAATGCTTCAAATAAATATTTAAACATAGTTACTTTTCTCCACTGATTATGTACAATGCACTGTTACCCTTTTTCACTGTCATGTTCTGCTCTGATTGCTGTTGTTTATTTCCTGATGTGTGTTTTTCTCCTCTTTCAGATGATAACAACAAGCTTTCTGATTGGTTAGAGCGTTGAGTGACAGCTAGAGGTTTGTCAGGATGGGCAGGAAGTTGGATCTGTCTGGGCTGACGGACAACGAGGCGGAGCACGTGCTGCAGGTGGTGCAGAGAGACATGAGGCTGCGCAAGAAGGAGGAGGAGCGCCTCAGGTCAGATACGATAATACTTCAAATGTTCTTGCATCACAGCGGCTCCATTTCCAACATCAAACACAAATACTCATTATACAGTACAACTGCAACCATTAGTCCACTCATTCATTAAATGATGGATAAACGACAACAATTTTGATAATCGATGAATTGTTAAACTACAATGTCTACTATATTCCTGACATTTTATTGACCAAGCAAATAATAAATGAGTAAAACAATAGTTACTTGCAGCTCTACTATGCTGTCTACCATTTCAGAAATTCTAATTCAAAGGTTTTATTGTCATAGGCATGGCAAATGGCAATGAAATTCTTCTGACCCGAGCTCCTCCAACAATGCAACATCAGTGTTTCCCCTATATACAAATAGCGGCAGCGCCAGCCCGGTACCACACAAATAAATAATAATAAGTGGCGACCCTTTTTGATTTTTGATTGTTTGTTATGTGGATTTGTAGTATTTGTGTTATTGTATGTTCAATAAAGTGTATTTTGCTAAATCTTGAGACATTGCCACTGTATGTACTAGGCCTCAAGAGCCTTTCTTGTGCTGGCAGACACATAGAAACATATGTGCGGGGTGCACTTCGCACGCGCACACACTAATAAATTCCACATGCTCACATTTTGCTGGGCATTAGGGTTAGGTTAGGGTTAACCCTAACCCTAGGTGTCTTAGCACCGCTGCTATGACTCCATCCTAGGGGAAACACTGAACATATATAATAGAATACCAAAAATACAGATACAAAATAGTGCAAGAAGTCTATATCAGTGGTTCCCAACTTTTTTTTTTACCAAGGCACCCCTTAAAATATTTCTCGACCCCAAGGCACCCCAACTTTTTGTAGATTTAAAAACCACTTCAGAGCTTAAACTAAAAACAATAAATACACCATAAATTGGTTTTCAAATGTGTATTTAATTGAATAGAACATTTTATAGAATTCACACAAGAACCAGACTAAAAATGTCAACACCATTTCTATGATTAATTCAATATTATAAACAGGCCTACTAAGTAGGCTCTTTTGTTTTGGCTGAAAATAGTAGGCCTACCTGTGTAAAAACACGAATACATATCAATACAGTTATTATTTTACATTTGGATTTCAAAAGAGGCAGGCCTATGATCACTTAGATTAAATAATAACTTAATAGAATTGGAGGGATGAAACAATGTCCTCTGACCTGACTGTGGTCATGTGACTCATCAACCACATCCCAAATATTAAACATTCTGCATTTCGCTATCCAGATAATACTGATTGACAAAATCATAAATCATACAAGAAAGGCACATAAATTAACATCCAAACATAAACATTTCTCAGACCGCGGAGGTCCTGCTCCACTGACAGCCAGGTGCGGGTCTTGTTTTTGACATATGCGAGTGAGGAAAACGCTAGCTCGCACAAGTAGGAGGTTGGAAACTGTAAAAGCACCTTGATGGCACTCTGAGAGGGATGGATACTCGTGTCCCACAAGCAGCCAAAATATATCCAGACCTAGTTCCCCGTGCTTCAGTTTCAGGGAGCGGTCCATAGATAGCTCTGCAAGTTCATCCTGAGCTCTGCCGTTTAAACTTGTGGCTGATATTAATGACAGAGGATTAAACGGATCCCGGAGCCAATCGAAGTCTTCATTCATAGGAGGGAAATATGACTCAAACCTCTCCTCCAGCACTCTCAGGTGAGCAGCTACAACTTGTAGATAAAATGCTGTCTTGTGCGCTGGGTCACTGGATGTCAGCGGAAACATTTCAATGTTTTTCTTGGCGACTTAATTTTGCCACAGTCTTAACTTGGATCGGAAATCATTGAGTTTTTCTGTGGCTGTCAGGATGTTCTCATTCTTCCCTTGCATTCTGATGTTGAGGTCATTGAGGTGGCTAAAAATATCTGCCAGATATGCAAGCTTAACCCACCACGATTCATCATCCATGTGTTCTTTGTAGGGTAAGTCGTGCTCATTTGCAAATGCAACAAGTTCGTCGTGGAGCTCGTAGACACGGGACAGCACCTTGCCCCGTGACAGCCAGTGGACCTCTGTGTGCAGTAAAAGGCCATGGTGCTCAGCCCCCATCTCATTGCACAATGTGCTGAACAACCGCGACTTCAGCAGACGGGACTTGATGTAGTTCACTATTTTCACAGCTTGTTCTAATAATGCAATGAGGTCTGGTGGCATAGCTTTGGCGACAAGGGCTTCTCGGTGTAATATGCAGTGGGTTATCTGTACATCAGGATTGACCTGTCTCACTTTATTTACAAAGCCTTTCACCCTCCCCGTCATTGAGGCAGCCCCGTCGGTGCAAATGCTGTGGCACATCCCCCAGTTTAGACCCTGTTCTGTCAGGTAATCAGCTGTGGTCTTGTACATTTCCTCTCCGGTTGCATGTGTGTGTAACTCTTTGCAAAAAAAGAAGTTCTCCTCAATGGATTCTCCATCAACGTATCTCACGTTGGCAATGAGTTGACAGTGGCCACTTATGTCTGTTGAATCATCAACTTGCAGAGCGAATTTGCCACTTATCTGTATTTTTTCAGTTAGGACAGTTTCTATGTCTACTGACATGTCATCGATGCAACGTTTGATTGTATTGTTGGATAATGAAATTTTATCGATTTCTTTAGTAGCATCTGGCCCTATCATTACCCTGACAATTTCCTTACATGCCGGTAGAATGAGGTTTTCCGCGATAGTGTGTGCCTTTTTTGCCTTGGCGATTAACTCAGCAACCAAATAGCTGGCCTCTTGTGCTTTGTCAGAGACACGTAGAGACGAAAGCATACGTTGACTCTCCTTCTCAATTTGTGATTTCAGTCTCTGGAAATACTCAATGTCCTTGGAATTATAAGAAGGTTGTTTTGTGCTAAAGTGTCTTGCTAGTTTACTTGGCACCATTCCTTCGTTGGATAATTTTTCTCTGCAGATTAGGCATTCTGGCGTCGGGCAGTCAGCATCCCCAGTCAAGGAGAAACCATACCGAAGGTAGCTTTCGCTGTATTGTCTGCTTTTAGACTTCTTTTGCACTGCTGTTCCATCATGTTCTGTCATCCCTGCCTGTGGTGTTGAGGGCTGGGGTGCTTCTTTATTTATTGTCACTACGTAACGATCCATCTTGTAATTATTTGGCGCGAGGATAAAAAGCTGCTCTGCACACCGTAAACAATGACGGCTGACGTAAATCATGAGAATTTAAGCAGTTTAATATTTCTAAATCTGAGCAATATATGTTTTATTAGCTTATGAACTCTATTGTACATGTAATAAAATAAAGTGTATATGAAGTGAAGTTTATTAAGTGAGAAAAAAATTTGGAACATAAAAATACGTTTTTTTGCGGCACACAGTGCTGGTGCCGCGGCACACCGGTTGGGAACCACTGGTCTACATGTAAATAAAATATGATATGTACAAGAACAGAATAGGAAATTAAATAATGTACATTAAAGGTGGGGTAGGTAATTTTGGAGAAACCAGCTCGAGTGCGCTAGAATTTGAAAATACACAGCCGGAAAAAATCTGCCACTTCCTTACAGAGCCCCTCCTCCAACACACACGAACGCGCACATGACCAATGAGGGCACGAGATAATTTTGTGCACAGATGGAAGGCTGACAGGCAGGTAGGCCATCCAGTTATTTAGCCGGGCCGGCTAAAATGATTGGTCGTGCTTTTTACAGCGCTACGGCTTCCACAGATGAATTTTTTTTATGGATTTTTTTGTCAAAGCACTTCAGATATTCTTTGCTATCGGGATGTTAAGAGCATTCCATGGAATATAACAAAAAGTGTATCTCGAGCCGGTTTCTCAAACTTACCTACCCCACCTTTAAGACAAAATGTAATACAGTTTATTGCGGTGATAACTATTTCTATGAATAATATATTGTTGAATAAAAAATATCTCTTTGTGAGTAAAGAGATATGAAAGAAAGATGTTAAAATTAATAAAATGGAAACTTTAAACCATATTGTAAGAGCAGTCACATTGGTTGGGGCTCAGTGTGCATTCGAGGCATTTTTACATCTCTAAGGGTGTTTTCCTATCCTGCGTCTCTGCTCCGGACAGGAAGTGACCTCCTTTTCCTGTTGTACTCACAATGGTTTCCTCAAAACTTCCCCAACAAAACAAGTTGAATTACAAAGACAGAATAAGATGCTAATTGTGTGCGAGAGACAGAGGTACATAATAGTAGGACATGATTTGCTGCTATGTCTGCTATATAGGTTAAAAATAATAGTCGCTTAATTTAATTCTGACTCTTTTACCTGCTCCTTGTGCTTTTATTCTTAACGCAATATTATTTTTCTGCGTACTTAACCAAAAAAGCTTTTAGCCATCAGGGTACCCAATCAAAGATAACACACTGGACCACACATGCAAGATAAACCTAATGGATGTTATTTCCTAAAGAGTTCCAACAGAGGAATGTTCAAGGTACTTTATTTTGTCATACGAACATATCTACAGTGTAGTTATGCTGATGAAATTCTTAGGTCACAGGCTTCTCCAACAGTGCAACACAATAACACAGTGGACGGATATCTACCCTATGGGACATTTACTTAATGTGAGGAGTATATTCATTTTTTTGGTGATGGATGCTGTTAAAGTCAACTTGTTTTTTATATGCCTGACTTGCAACAACATCACACTTTGTTTTTCATGCCTTTTTTTCTTTCCACTTTCAATGTCTCTTAGATTCAACTGCTCATTGACATCTGAAGTTGTAGCCTAGTGGCAATAACACAGAAACTGCCTCTTTCCTTTGGGCACCAAGCCAAAGAGGTTGTAATATAAACAAAAACACATATTGATTTTGCATAGTGTAAGTGGAGTCAGATTCCCTTAGAATAATACAAATTTGATTAGCTATATTAGTCCTCAAATTTGAACTTGTGCTTCCTTGTTTTGGTCGAACAATTTGTGAGCTTTAAATTCAAGATATGTTTTTTAAAAGTGCTCTTGACGTCTTACTTGTACCT